TGCGATAGGTGAGCATGATAGTGTGAATTATGTCAGTGAGCCCGACCAATGACATTATACAGGGGTTTAGCACGTAATTTCACCCAGTGTACTTCCATCATATCACTCCCTTTTACGAGACAACGCGATTAATCCAAATTCACTATTGCAGTCTGACACTCAAAGCAATTTTTTTTTTTTTTTTTTTTCATGACAGTAAACAAACCCATTTTTATTCACTTTTACACAATATTGTTCCATATTACGTTTTTCTAAGCAAATCAATTACAAATTCTCTTTGAATTTCATAATGAAATTATTTAATTAATTTATTAATTATTATTTATTATTTTATTCATTGTTTTACAGAAAAAATTTTATAATTTATATTTATATTCTATACTTGTAAATATTTATATATTTCTTTTTGAAATTTTATTTTATTTACATTTTCCTTTTTTTTTTTTTTTGACAAATGAAAAGATAATTTTAATGAGATAATTAAAATCAACTGAATACTCTCTTTGTAAATCGTTACCGAAAAAAAGGGATGCGGTCATTAATTAGTCACTAATTGAATCAATTGTTCCTGTGTATTTCGATTTTGGAACGTAATATCATTTGTAAACGGAAATTCTAGTTTCCGTCATCCCTTTCTATATCATTTGGCACGCGCAGAAACCAATGCTGATGTATTTCTAATCCCTGAAATTTATTTCTGTTATACAAGAGACGAAACTTGAAATAAATAACAAGCGTTTCACTTTTCCTCGAGATTAATTATTTAATTAAGTTAATTAAATGTCCCTTGCTCAAATAACGAACGGTACATATTTTTTTTTCCCCTCTAGACTTTCAATTGTATTTTTAAATTTTTTAGATACATTTTAATTAAATTTTAAAATTTTTTGGATACATTTTAATTAAATTTTTAATTATTTTGAAATTTTACTTATATCAATGGAGAAATTAATTTATAAACATTAAGTGGAATGATTTTTTATATAATAATTTAAAAAAAAATAAGAATTCTTTAATAATAATTTTTTAAGTTTTATTCCGAAAAATTATGAGTTCCTCTTTTTTTTTTATTGGTAAAATAAAATTCGAGGAAAAGCAAGATGTTTGACCTACGAACCTTTTGAACTGTGTAGTCTTTTACTCATCCTAGACAGTATAAAAATAACAGGATCTAAAAGCGATTGAAAGCTATCGAATGGATGGAGTCATGTCTTTTGTTTTCGCTCCAATAACTGAATTGACAACGTTGAACATCGAAATTTTCTTCCTTCACGATATTTCGTTACCCAGTAGCTTTTTTCATAAGAGGCATTTTATCTTTTCGTCTCAACTTTGTGAATTTCAAATAACTTGATGTAAATATGACTGATTTTCTTTTACAAGAATGAGCAAAAAAAAAATTGTTTCAAGTAACTTGAAAATTTGTAATAAATTTTTCAAAATGCAAATGTGTATTTTATATTTTCTCTATTTGTTACAACAAAAAAAAAGTATTTCTGTCTTGACTAAAATTGCATTTTTTTCCACAATAAAAAAAAATTTATTTTATAATTATTTATTATATAAACAAAAAAGAAAATATAAATAATAATAAATATATGTAAAAACATTTTTCGAAATATTAGAAAGAATTTTTTTTTTTTGTTTTGAAAAAAGGAAATTGCAATTTAATTCACCTGTTTGTAGAAAAAGGGTTTTTTTTTTTAAATCAAGAAATGGGTGATAATTATATACAGGTAAAATTCGAGGCTATTTGCAAGGGCGACAGGTGAGCACGAACGCGCGGGGTGTTGAGAAACGGCGGCACGACTAGCGGCTACCCTATTTTCACCTCGTCGTGCTTCCCTCCCAGTTCACTTCGACCCGATTCTCGACAACCCAACACCCAACGTATAATGGATAGCTTCAATTTACTCTTCGACCCTCCGGCTGACACACGCTGCGCCCTTCGCCTGGAAAATCGAAAAATTGTATATAAGAAAAAAAAATAAAGAAAAAAGTAAACGAGCTAGAAAGAAACGAGAGTGAGAGAGAGAGAAAAAAAAATAAGAGAAAAATGAGCCTGCTGCATGAGGCAATACACCAGCTTCCCGAACGAATGAGCGGAAGCAACTGAGATTTCATTATAATGGGGGCATCGCCTTCGAGGCTCCGGATGCTTGCAAAATTAGTCACTTTGTACTTATATATATATATATATATCCACTTTTCCCAAGTAACCTGCAATTTCGAATTCTTCCTGCAAGAGAGAAGCACACTTGAAGAAACTTCCAATGACGTTGGAGGAAAGCTTCAAGATCCTGTTCGTTGACAAACTTTTCTCATGTTGAGCAAAACGAAACTATATATATATATATATATATATATAGTATTATAGAATAAGAAGACGATTGGTTGGGGTCACTTCGAGACGATTAGGAACTTACCTTTGTAAAGAGGAAAACAAACTAGATTCCAAAATTACCTACATATTCAACTCCCAAAAACTTTCTTTCTCTCTACTTTTATCTATCACAGAAAAAACAAATTTCTACTTATTTTAACAAGAAAAAATAGTTAATAAAACTTGATTAATTTCTGGTAAAATTAACTAGAATACAGGTATGCGAAAAAATAATCAATTTAACTAGATTTTTGAAAAATAAAAAAATACCGGTATAGAAATCTACCTTATCGACTTATGTTAATTGCCATCAGTCGGTAAGATAGATTTCTGTGTCGGTATTTTTTTATATTTTCAGTTTTCAAAAATTTTTACCCTAATGTGAAATAATTTTGTAAAAAAAAAACCTGCTATTTTAAGGATTTAAACTTTATTTAATACAATAAAACCATCGTATATTGGACCCGCATAATTTTCATTCCCTCTTACATTGGGTTTCTTTTTCGATCCCTTAAAATCCGATATACGTGGGTTTTACTGTATTTATTTATTATTAGTATTATTAATAGCAACAAATTTTTACTATTAATTAGTTAAATTTAATACTTATGTAAATAATAGTAAATTTTTTTTTTATTATCGAATTAGTACTAATTCAAAAGCAAAAAGTGAGTCACTAATTCAAGTTTGTTAAAATTTTTACTAATTTAAATTTAGAGATTACTAATGGAGTATTAAAGAAAACAAAATAGATTAAATTATTTTTCTTCTGTTATTTTTAAGAGAAAAAAAAATAGAATTCTTCTTTTTAATTTAATTAAATTTCGAATGCCATTTGTCAAACAACAGTATTGTGCTATTCATGACTAATCGAGTTTGGTTAGAAGAAGGATTCCTTTACTACGAAAAAAAGGAATTTCTTTTTTTTTTATTGGAAAGTAATCTCTTCCAAATATCTGAATAAAAAGTTCTTTTTACAGCGTGAAATTGAATAGCTTCACAAGTGGTATAACGACACGTTTTGGTCAGACGTGTGTGCAATGCAATTTTCAAACCGAAAAAAAGTAGATTTTTATCAAATTAATACCTTTTCATGTTTACAAGTTGAAATTTTCAGTTATGAAAAAAACAAAATATATGTTACAAAATGTATGTAATTTTTTCATGTCAAAATTCTAATTAAAAATCATTATTTATTAAGACCTTTTTAATAATTTTCAATCAGTAGTTAAATGCAGTTTCAGTATTTGCTTGTTAATTTTTTTCGCAGTAGTAATTGTTTGTTTTAGTTAGACAAATTTTAGTTCATAAAAAGGCTTATGTCATGGCATTAGAGAATTTCTTTGAATTCTTTTGTTTTTCAGTAGTAAAAGACAGTTATAGTCAGACCTATGGGATTCCGATGGAGTTCCGACGGAATTCCGATTAATTTTGTTTTTTTTAAATTTTTAGAGTCCTAATTCCGTTGGAATTCCATCAGAAATTCTTTGGAATTCCAATGAAATTTCGACGGAATTACGTTGGAAGTTGCGGCGGAATTCTGATAGAACCTCCAGGGGGCACTTTCCGTGGAATCTTTCCAAGTGGGATTTTTATAACAAATAAAAATTTTTATTCCTATTCTGTATTTTTTAAATTACTTTTATTATTATTTATTACTATATTTATTAGCTAAAAAAAATCCATAGAATTAGAAAAAAAATATTCAGTCTCTCATTATTTTTTTCTGTTAACGAGATTGTAATTAAATCTAAATATCCGGAAAAAAGCAAATTACGTTTTTATATCCTTTTTAAGGATAATGAATATTATTATGACATGTAGTGATGCAAAAAAAAATTGATAAATAAATTACTTTCAATAATTAAGTATACACACACACACATAAAGGAATTATATTGGATTTAAATTGTGTGATTATCGTGCGTCGTACTCAGAAAATAATTTCTTTCATGAGACAATCACCATAGTCGTTTTTATACATCTCCCCTGTGGTTTCGAAACATTTCCGACGCAGAAATTCATAGTCACGGTCTCCGGTTCTCTCGTATGCATTATTAATTGGTACAGCTATTAGAGTTTGGGGGTGGTGGTTCTCCGGTCGAGCCCTCCGGCCATCGTCTGTCTCCAGTGTAAATGGCTTCACGTTTTGCCACGATAATTAAACCCGTTCTGTCGATTAAGGCTCGTTTCCACTCGGATATTTCAACCACTCATACTTATCATTGCTTCAATTTTAATTTTTCTCTCATTTTTTTTTTTTTATTATAAAACTCACCATTTGCATATACATAATATACTACCTTCAGGAAATTTGTTTTTATCAATAGATTTTTATTTTATCATTCTTTCAATTATTGTAATTGTCAAACAATAATTGCAAAGTAGATACTTTTTTTAATTCTCGAGAACAAAATTTTCTTCTTAGGGGAGAAAATACGCATTTTTTGTACTAGGGCATAAAATCATCATTTTTAACCCTAGTGTAGAAAATAACCGTTTTTCATCCTAGGGCCAAAAATCATCTTTTTTCAACCCTAGAATAGAAAATATTCACTTTTAAGTCCTGAAAAGAAAAACATTACAAAATGATGGGAAAAATAAATAAAACACACAATTGGTAACGCTATTTTTAGACATTGTTATTTCTCTGAAAGTAACAAAATCGCTTGTAAACAATTTTTTATGGCGAAAATGGTAACAGAGTTATAGGTAACAATGATATAAACTACATTTTCTTTTCCTTCTCTTCATTTATAATAGAGCTACGTGTAAATTGTGTCAATTAATTTGATAAAAAAAAAAAAAAACTGACATGTCAACTAAATTATTCTAACTTTCAAATTATATTTATATTTTTAATTATTACTTTCTTTCTATCAGATATAAAAAAAAAAATTAATCGATACAATATACACGGGGCGCACTATTTTTGCTGCCGAGAGTGTAAAACAATAAATTGACTATAATTCTACCTTAAAATTATACTACAAAATCTACTTTTATATACATTTTTTTTTTTTAAACGCACTAAAAAAACAGTGGAAACACTGGTGATAACAACGATAAAATATCTCGGCGATTATAACATTTTAATAACAATGCATTCTTTTATCAATATTTATATATATGCAACTTCTGGAGAATTCACCATACAAAAAAAAATTAATATTGAAAAAGATAACAAAAGTTAGTTGTTAAAGTAACATTGCAAACATTCTATTTTGTAAAAAATATATTTTTTTAATTATACCATTTTTTTTTACATTTATTCATTCAATCTTTTTTTTTTTTTATTTTTATTTATATTTCAATTCTTTTTGTATTCAAATATTTTTCAAATAATCATACATTCTTTGAAAAAAATTTTTTCTATTATATATATATATATATATATATTTACCTATTAAAAAATTAACATTGAAATCAGTACTCAAAGAAAAGAACACAGATTGAATGTAAAATTTTCATTAGACAAAATACTGATGGCGATTTAAGCTAATTACAATTAGAAAATGATAACAAAAATCGAAATTTTCACTTTCAAAATAATATTATTTATTATTTTATTATTAATTATTAATTATTAATTATTAATTATTAATTATTATAATTGTTAGAAGAGATTTTTAAAAAAAATTGACAGGGAAAATTTCAAGTAAAGAAAAAATTAGAAATTAAATAAAAAAAAATTTTTAAATATCATTATATTTTATGTAAAATTAAGAAAGTGTAAATTTCGTTTTTCTTTTTTAGTGATTTAATAATTATTTTCATTTCGAGTATTTTTTTTTCCAACAATTTCTGACCTGTGCCCTTTAAATGTGAACCATACACTTGTCATATACGATTCACTCATTTCATTGTGGATTCTCCCTTGTTCTCTGTTTGACATGCATACCTGCAATCGCAATTTATCGCATTTTCATAGCACGAGTGCACGCATCATCCTGCAATCGTGAATTTTTATGCGCCTAAGTATTGCACACCGCGGTACAACATATATATATATATATATGTATGCACATTTAGAATTATTTTTTTTTTATTTTTATTTATTCATATATTTTTTTTTTCGTTATTTTTTTCATCATTCATGACACACACGTCTACGCCAGCGTAAAATACTTGAAAAAAATATATATGTACATTGTACATATATATATATATATATATATATATATATATATATACATACACACGTTTTATATATATATATATATATGTGTTCATATATATATAAATTCGTTCTATGTATTTTTTCTCTCCTAGAAAATAAAAAATATGGGTACATACTCTATGTACGTAAATGATTTTTTGCTAAAAAAAATAGTTACATTTGAATTTTTATTCTTCTTTTCTCTCTCGAGCATTTTTTTTTTAAATCCAACTTACAAAAATTTACCTTACATTTGTAGACAAAAAAAAATTTTTTGATTTTCAAATAATCAGAAACAAACTTATTTATCTAAATATAAGCAATTATTTAAAATAAAAAAAAAATGCAAAAATAAAAAATAAACAAGCTTTTGTCTTTTTAACAAATACATAATGTTTATGAGACTTAAGAATTTTTTACAAAAATTTATTGATTCGACTTTGAATTATTTTTTTCTGAAATATTCCATTATAATAGGATTCAAGTAACTTTCGACTTTTTGAAAATAGATTATTCATTACATTTATTTTAATTTGAAAACTGAAAAAATAATTAAAAAAAAAAATTTTCCAAACTAAATTTATTGAAAATTGCATTCATAATTAATTTTAATAAATAATAATAGCAATAATAATAGTTAATTTAAAAATGATTTAATCAGTTGAGTGAAAAAACGTCATCCATATTTAAAAAAAAAAAAAAAAAAATTTCGCTCGATTTGGCTGTTGATGTTTTGTATTTTTTTTTTATATTTCGTCTCTAAACATTTAATATTTCGAGATAATTTTGTTGACCAGCTCTTTGATTTAGGCCTAGGTCCCTGAAAAATTGAGGTCATTTGATAGATTGTGTTTACTGACACAAAAAAACGTGAGAAGAATATATGGAAAATTAGTGAATGTAGCGCTCACGTTCAAAATGAAGCCCATGACCAGCGATGCGCGAGTAAATTATTAATTTGATACGCATACGGGCAGTTAGTTGTCCCTCCTTCTCTCAATACCCTTTTTTTTCACGACATGTTTTATTAACGAGAGAAACTTTTTTGCTTACGCACTCGAAAATTATCACTAATAAACTCATATTATTCGTTTCAAAAAAAAAAAAAGAAAAAAAAATGCTGTCAATTTTTTATTTCTTTCTTAAATTAAATTTAATACAAATAAATCAATATGTAATTAATTTAATACAACTAAATTAATATTAAACTGTTTAATGGAATTAATTTAAAATTCTTTACAAATTATTTTTTTTAAGCAAAAAAAAAAAAAAAAATAGAAATAGTAATTTAAAGTTAACAGCATTTTTTTTTTTTTTATTTTAGACGAAAATATTGCGAATTAAAAATTAATTTTGTAGGTGAATTAAATTCGTACTGAATTATGGACTGTTTTTGTTGGTTAGTTGCGTGCCACGAATTTTTTGAATGCCAACTTTTGGCTTTTTTTTAACACGAAGAAACTCTCGACGAGTGCTCGATATATATATACCCTTAGTAGCTGTAACATTTACTAGTTTCGAAATACGTTAAATTTATTACGAGCTAGTGTATAGCGCACGTCGCGATGTACAAGCGGAAAACTCTTCGCGAGCTTTTACTTCACTTCGCGTACACAAGATTTCCTCAAACGTTTTACTCTTCTTCCTATACATATATATATATATATATATATATGTATATTTACTTGACGTTTCAACCCCTTCAACACGCCTTTGGAAGTCACGAAATTCAATTATACATTGCACGCTTCTCTCGCGCGCACCCGTTATTAAAACAATTTTTTACCCCTCGCTGTGTTACATATATATATTTTTTTCTACACTTTCATTTTCAGTATTTTCCCATTCAACAAAAACTGCAGAGTCAAAGGATTACAAAAACCGCAAAAAATTATATTTAAGTGAAAAGTATTTTTATGTCTCAAAAAAAAAAAAAAATCTTTATCTGGAACAGCGATATGTTTCTCTAGAATAGCGAAAACTATCCCTGTTTTAGTAAAACATATCGCTGTTTCAGGTAAAGATTTTTTTTCCGTGAAACAAAAGAGATAATAAAAGTCAGTGTTGATTACATCAGCGAGAAAGATCAGACCTATAAAGATTTCTCCCCACTGTCGAGCTTAAAATTTCTTTCTCTCTTTTCATAATATTTTGTAATCCCTCGCTTCTTATTCATGGTTATTATTTTTTTTTTTGTGTCGCGTCGGAAAAAAACAATTCTGTAAGGAGCTTGCACACAGTAACAGAAGAAGAAGGAGAAGAAAAAAAGATATTTATTAACCGTAATTAAATTATTTTTCTCCCTTGTCTCCGTTAATCTATAATACAAAAGAATTAATGGCGCCTTGGATGCTGGGCGATCGATCGTGACGAGTACTCTATTATCTAAAGCAAAGGCAAAAAAAAAAAAAAAAAAAAAAAAAAAAAAAAAAAAAAAAAAAAACACAATTACAGGATAATAATGACTATTGTCGAGATGATTTTTCATATTATTTTATTTATTAAAATGTGATGCTATTGAAACGCGGCCAGCGCGAAAATATGTTTTATGATTTAAAAGGGGAAAAAATGTAAACTTTGAGAAAAATTATTTCAAAGTTACTGCAAAGATTTTCGATTATAATCGATCTTTAATCATCGTGATTTTGGAAAGATCGTTATGGCAGCGATAATTGTTTTTTTTTTTTAAGTCTACACTATGGTTCAATAATAATTTTTACCCACCCTAAAATTACTATTTAATTGAAATTTTTTTTTTTTTTTGGTATTAATTTTAAAAAGTTGATTTTAGTGGTAAATTTGGTACTAGTAGTTAAAGTCAGTTTCAGTCAGACATTTTTTTTTTGTCCAAATTCTTCTAAACTTTTTTATTCTTATTTATATAGACAGTTTTGGCAAAACAAAATGTTTTACATATTTTGTAACTTTTGATAGTGATAAAATTTATGTCTGACAAAAGATTTTACATTCTCATGAATTTTATATAAATAGAAAAAGTGAGTTAGAGTAAGACAAAACGTTTTCTATTTTTTTTTAACTTTTCAGGTAATAGAAAACACTTTCAGATAAATATTTTAAAAAAATTTAATTTTAATAGCAGGAGTAATAGTAATTTTTAGTCAGACAGAAGTGTTTAAATACTAAATTATAATTGTATTTTTTTATTTATTTTTTTAAAATAATTTTTAGTATCTGTATTAAAAAAAAATTTTCTGTATTTTGGAATATCAGTAGTAAAAATATCATTTTAGTCAGACATAATAGTAAGAGTAATTTTTTTTAGATTCAGTATTAAAATTCTGTTACAATCAGACAAAATATTGAAATTCTTGCAAACATAGTAAAATTAATACAAGAAATAAAATTAGTTGAAGTAGTGAAAGTACTAAAAAGTATTAAAAGTAATAACAACACTAAAAAGTACTAAAAGTACTTAAAGTACTACAGCACTAAAAGTACTCAGTACTACAGTACTAAAAGTACTCAGTACTCCGTACTATAGTACTAAAAGTACCAAAGGTACTCAGTACTAAAAGTACCAAAGGTACTCAGTACTCAACGTACTAAAACTACCAAAGGTACTCAGTACTCAACAGACTAAACTACCAAAGGTACTCAGTACTCAACATACTAAAGTACCAAAGGTACTCAGTACTCAACGTACTAAAAATACCAAAAGTACCAAACGCACTCAGTACTAAAAGTACCAAAGGTACTCAGTACTAAAAGTACCAAAGGTACTCAGTACTCAACGTACTTGAAGTACCAAAGGTACTCAGTACTCACCGTACTTGAAGTACCAAAAGTACTCAGTACTAAACGTACTAAAAGTACAAAAGTTGCTAAAGTACTAAAAGTGCCAAATATACCAAAGTACTAAACGTACTAAAATAATAAAATTTCTAAAAGTACTAAAATTACTAGTATTAGTAAAAGAATCCGTTAGAAAAAAGTATGTAATTATCTCCAATTTTTATATTAATATCGTAAAAGTGTGTCTTAAGACTCGAAAAATTCTTCTTTTAGTATATTTAGCAATTTAGTAAAATATCTTTTTCTATCGTAGGATGGGTAATAGTTTTTAACCAATAGCATATTATATTGAATATTTTTGAAGCTCTTGAACATTAAACGGTGAATTTTTCTAATCCGAATATCGGATCATTTATATTTATAATCGCAAAAAAAAAAAAACAAAGAGAACTTTTTCTTTTTTAATTAGTAGCCTTTTTCTCAATGTTATATTTTATAGATGTAAAATTGACTATTAAAATATAAATTTCTATATATATATATATATATATGTGTATATTATTCGTAATTGAAACTTCCTTCGTTGCCAAAGTTGTGTCAAATGTCTATGAGCAAAAGTGTCTCGTCCAAAGTTTCGAAGACTTCCTAAGGACTAAGTTTGAATTTTAGGGGAATGAAGGGAGATGTGGGGTGGGGGGGACTATACACAGGTCGCTGAACACTAGAGGCTCTAAGATTCTATATATCGACAGTCACTGTGCATCAAAGGCGTAATAGTCGGCACACCGTTATTCAATATCGCTTTCTCGGCATTAGCTGAGATCGAACGTTTCTCTCCTCACACACAGACAATAACTATTAGCAAACTTTGTAACAAATCGAATAATGTCCGTGAAATTTCAAGCAGCGTCTCTAGATTGATATAGTGGTCGGCGCATTGAGAGAGCGCGCTATGTTGAAATTACGATGTCGGTTTATCCCTCTTAGAAATTAGTTCCCCAACTTGGAAATGAGGTCCAGGAAGTCTCTTTCAAGATATAAACTTAACGGACATTGGATATCCCATCTCTCTACTTTTTTCCCTTTTTAATTTTCATTAAGCTTTTCAAAAATTACCTTTCCTTAATTTTGTATCTCTCTCTCTCTCTCTCTCTCTTTCTTGTAAATTCATTCCTTCACAGATACACACAATGTTTGCTTTCACTTGACGAGTTTCAAGCTAAAAAAAAAAAAAAGAAATTTAAAAAAAAATTGGTTGAAAATTTCTCTTTACTTTAAGTTTCGAATTGTTTCTTTCAGAGTTGTTCATCCCAGGAACATGAAGATAATTGAGTCGATGTGCACTCTTCCGTTTTTTTTTTTTCTTCTTTTTTTACAATTTCTTCAAACGAAACAAACTTCTCTCTTCCGCTCGAACGCGTAATCGATCTGGGTGAAAAAAAAAACTTGGGGAGCACAGCTGAAAAAGTATCCAACTTCTCGAAACTAAAATTTCAACAATTTTATGAATACGAGAAAATAATCAATGCAAAAAAAAAATGTTTTGGATTTAGATGAATCAAAAAAAGAAAAAAAAAAATTGACTATATAAAATGATGTCGTTGATACTTTGGCAATAGTGAATGAAGGCCGCAGGTGCTCTTCTATCTCGGTGGACCTTGTGATATGGGAGATAATAATGGAGGGTTGCGGAGGGGGGGGGGAGGTGAAAAAAATGGATAGTGAAAGAGAGGGGGCTTTTTGCTACGCAACAATATCCATATCAGAAGGATTTGATGACGTTGGCGCTAAACTACCAAGAGTTTCATCGTCGGGCAGAGGATGATGACACGAGGGTGCAGGTGGACTCAAAGGTTGAAGATGAGGTGACGACAACATTGGATCACCGCTGTGAACTGGTCCATTTGTATCATCTTCCATCAAATCCTCCAACTGAGACATACTTAACACAGCTGCTCCATTCGTTATCACGTCTGGCATCTGAAACACAATTTTTTTTTTGCCTCTTAATTTTTTCTTCATCTAATCCTAAAAACAAAAAATTTTTAACAAATCTTTCAATCTTTCATATTAAATTGTAATAAAAAATCTTTTTTTCTCGAGAATATCGGAAAATTACTCCTCTCGCTTATAATAATTATCAATATAATAATAATAATAATAATTATATTACTATTATTAATATTATTTATTATCAATTCCAAAAGGTCTAATCTTTATTTGTCCTAATTTTCATTTGCCCTACACTAAAATTAATTTAATAATTATTTAACCAAATTAATCATTAGCCAATTTCTGAAATAATTTATTAATAATAATTTATTTCAAATATAATATTTATGTGGCATTTATTTAAACTAATTCTTATTTGGCTTAATATTTAACTAACCAAATCTCTACTTGACATAAAGTTATTAATTAACGCAATGTGTAGTCGATCTGATTCTTAATTGGCATAACATTTATTTGGCCTAATTTTTAATTGGCTTAATTTTCAGTAAATCTAATAATTAGGACAAATTTTTTAGTAAATCGAATAATTTGGCCTAATTTTTTTTTCGTCAATTGGTGAAAATTTTAGTTGAACAAATAATTGGCTAAATATTTAGCCAATTTCAAAAATAATTTATTTCTGAACAAATTGTTATGTGGATTTTATTTAAATCTAATTCTTATTTGACCTAATATTTATTTGGCCTAATATTTATCTAACCTAATCTTTATTTAACATAATTATTTATTAGCCAAATAAGTATTGGACCTAATTCTTAGTTGGCTTAACTATAATTTGACTTAATTCTTATTTGGAAAATTTTAAGGAGAAAAAAAATTTCTCTTTAATTTTTATTTTAATTTTATGAAATATAATTGTCATTTTATCATTATTAAATCTAATAATTTAATCAGATAAATAATAGGCTGAATAAATATTAGGTCAAATAATAAAATAAATAATAAATAATTTAAACCTAAATAAAAAGTCCACATAACAAAATTAGATCAAAAATAAATTATTATTGATAAATTATTATTTTAGAAATAAGCTAAATATTGAAACAATGACGAATTTGATTTAGTAAAAATTACACAAATTAAAATTAAAATTAGGCCAAATTATTAGATTTAATAAAAATTTTGTCTGACCTTCATTTGACCCAATGGATGTAAATTTTAGTTAACCAAATTCGTCGTTAGCTAAATATTTAGCCAATTACAATAATAATTTTTTAATAATAATTTATTTCTGATCTCATTTTTATGTGGACTTTATTTAAACTTAATTCTTATTTAACCTAATATGTATTTGGCCTAATATGTATTTGGCTTAATATTTTTTTAGCCTAATAAATATTAGGTCTAATATTTATCTGACCTAATTTTATTGATTATTCTTATTTATCATAATATTTAGAAGTGTCAATTCTTGTTTCAAATTTTGTTTAATTTTTCTTTCGGTTCAAAATTTTTTTTTTTGACAGAATTATTTTTGTCGAATTATTATATATGATCTAATTCTTATATAACTTGAAAAACGAGATCACGGCTATATCTTTCTTTATGTAGTGAAAATTGCAACAAGTTATAAATAAATTCTCGAATTTACATGATAATAAAATAAAATAATAACGGTTCGAGTTTGACAAAAAGAAAAAAAAAATGAGTTACTTAGGAAGCTATAATGAGACTCGTAACAAAACAAGCTAACAAAGTAATATTCCCGTCAACTTGAACATGTTAATTTGTTAAAAGGACGAGTGTTATGTCATCACAATGATAAAATCTCAACGGAAGAAGATTTGTTCTATTTTTTTTTTTTTTTTTTTCATTCTCCACTAGTGCACGCGAAGATGAGTCTCATATATACATATGAGCAAGGTAATATCAGCGAAAAATCAACGGAAATATCGACGTTTTGCTGTCGCATTACGCGAGCAAATTGAACGTGTGCGGTCAAAAGCAATTAAGATCCTAATCGCCTAATTGCTTCATCGAAAGTTCAGCGAGGCAAAAGTGTGAGAAAAAAAAAGTTCATCACGAATTGTAACTGTCTTTGCCCGTTGTTTTTTTTTTTTTTTTTTTTTTTTTTTTTTTTTTTTTTTTTTTTTTTTTTTTTTTTTTTTGTAAACAGATATACATTTTCACTGGTCCATGGAAAGTCCTCACTCCAAATGGTGTGGCCAAAGCGGTGAAAGTTTTTCTTCGATTTTCCTGCTTCAATGCGAAGCGTACGGGGTTGGGATATATAAGAAGTTTGGATGTCTCTCAATCCTGAACAAATGCGGTTAAACTTTTTAAACCTCAGATCTTCGATTACTTTCCCAAGGACACGACAGCTCAAACCCGACAACTTTTATCGAATCATGAAATACCGCAATACCAACATTTTTTAAACCTTTTTTTTTTTTTGGGAAAAAAAGCAAAATTAAAGAAATGACTGAAAAATTGAGAAGTTAAATAATAATGGAGAAAAAAAAATGGGTGATATTTAATCTTTTAGAGAATTTGTATTCTTATCATTGTTTACGTTACCAATCAGACGGAGAGATTTCAGCTACATGAGATGTGTTACTTTATCTAGAACTGTAATAATTTCCAACTATTATCATGTTAAAGGTAGAGAATTCACACTTGATAAGGGGAAAAAAAAAAAAATTTTTTATTCTTGCCTGGTGAAGAAGAGAGAAAAAAAAGATTTGACTCAATAAAAATCACAACTCTTGATAATAGAACGTCACAAAAGTAGCATTTTTTTTTTTTTTTTAGAAGAATGTTATCTAATCGGAGTGCAACCGATCGTAAAGTACGATTTTCAAAGAACGAGAGAGAGAGAGAGAGAGAGAGAGAGAGAGAGAGAGAGGGGGGGGGAATTTTATCTCCTGTAATAATTCATCACTCACACCCTATACGAAAAGCTTCGAACATCTTTCTCAAACAATTCACTGAGAGATTCACAAGACAAAATCACAGTTTCCTGAAAGCGAAGCACAGGAAGTGCGAGAGAACGCATTCATGAATACACTTCACCTCATTCGGGCTATTAAGAATTCATAGTAGTCAGATAATGAATGGTGTTGCTTCGCATTGAGCAGAGAACTACAACGAGACAAACAACTTTAAACTAACAATCACTTTATATAACAGCAAATTCTTGCACATAATTTATTATATTTTAACCAAAAACTGATTTACTTATTTAAATACCATTTTATGGGAAATTAAATCCACTTTCAATGTGTGCACCTTCAAGGGGGAAAAAATAGAGAAAAATAATTTCCTCACTGAAAAATAAGCAAAAAATTTCACTAAAATGTGAAATTATCTAAAAAAAAAAAATTTTTTTTTTAAATTAAATTAAAAATTATCTATTGATAATTATAAGAATTTTTCCCTGAATCTTTTTTTTTTTTAAATTCACAATTTGAAAAATTTCCATTAAATTATATGTAAATTTTTTTTTTTTTTTATAAGAAGCGGTTTTTTTTTCTATCCAATTATAGGTATGAAAATAACAATGTTTTTTCAATAATATTTTCCTGTCACTATAATAATACAATTTTCCATGATTATTTCAAAGTCATTTCATTATTTCTTCATAAATATTTGAGCCATTTGAAATGACAATTGAAATAAAACAATTTCAATTTGAAATATATTACGTTTACTGTAACAGACAATCAAGTTATTTACAATTAACTATTTATAAATTCTTAGTGACTTATAAATCAGAGTAAATAAGCGCTTGATAATTTCAAAATAAAAATGTCCCTGAAACTTTCAATTGATTTCATCAATATTGTAAAATTTTTTTTTTTTAATGGACTTTTATTTATTTATTTTTTTTTTTTTATTAGCTTAATTGTATAAAAAAAAGACTTTTCTTTATAAATTTTATATTTTTCTTTAGGAAAATTAATAATAATGTTGATTATAGAAAACAATAAATAATTTACAATTAATATTAAGTTTCATAATTGCTAATTTATTGCTAATGCTAAATAAATTTGCTAATAAATATTGCTAAATAGTAAAAATAAATAATCACAACAAACTGCTAAATAATTATTAATAAAAAATTACGAATAAGTTTCAAGTAAATAGAAAATAATACTAGTAAATATTAGTTTCCTAGTAAACGGTTAATAAAAAATGGATTGCTAACAAATTTTTTTTATCTAATTGCTAATTAAATTGCCGATGAATTACCATCGCTTATGAATAATTTTTTTTCTTTTATCAAAAATAACTTTAGAAAATAATTTTTTCTTATCGAAAATAACTTTAGAAAGTAATTATTTTATTTTATTGAAAATAACTTTTGAAAATAATTTTTTTCTTTTATCAAAAATAACTTAATACAATAATTTTTTTTTTTTCTAAAATCGAGAATAACTTTGATCTATATAAATTTTTTTTTTTGTAAAGTTCCTTTTGAAAATAATTTCTCTTTTTTTGGCATTGTTAAAAAATCTGATGAAATCTTATAAAATTAAGGAAAGAATACTAAAAACATTCATAAAAATTAAAATTACAAAGCACGCGTCATGCAAAATCGAAGACAACGGTACTATCACCTTTAAAGAGCATTCAATTGACTGGTGGTTATACAACACAAAAGAGAGATAGACATATACTCTCGTATCAATAGGGCGTTAGTGCCTACACGCATCCCTAGCGAATGAGCAATCGAATAAAACAAACAGCCATGCTAGATTCTCGTAAAAACAGATGCAGATTACGAAACGAGCTTAAAACAATTTAAATGTTTACATGGATTGACGAGTCAAAGAGAAAACGAACCAGCCATATACTCCGATAGGCGGTTACAAGCTTTTGAGGTCCCACACACAGCCTCCAATTTCTCTCGATTATTTTATCTCTATTTGCCAAAAAAAAAAAAAAAGTTCCATGTTTTTTTTACTAGAAAAACCAAAAAAAAAAAATTCTTTTCACATGAAATTCAATAAAAAAAAAAAAATGTCGATTTTTTTCTCGATAAATCTTATAAATCTTTTCGCATTTTTTTAACCCACCATTTAATTCCATCAATATTTCGAATTTAACCATTCTTTTTTTCTTTAATACTTTTTCATATGGTCACCAACTACGTAACGAAAAAAAAAAATTTCACAGCTTTTTGATAAAAAAAAAAAAAAAATCCTATTCATGTGGAAAATAATTTTCGTTTATACAGATAAATTCCTAAAATTTTTCCCCTGGAGAATTTTATAATTATTATTTATGTTGATATTTATTTAATATAGCAAAAATTATTATTTGTAGGACGTTAATTACCTGCGAGATTTTTTTCATAGATTATCAGAATTTAAAAAATTTTATATAATATTGCAAACTGAAAAATGTGAAAAATTTATTGTAAATTTTTTTTTTTTTTTTTTTTCACTGGATAAAAATAAAAAATATGCCTCTAAGGGAGAAATATTTTTTAAAATTCAGTCTCATAGCTTTGCCTGGGCAAAAAAAAAAAAAAAAAATAGAAAAACCGTTTAAAGTGAAGTTTAAAAATAGCTTACCTTTCGATGTTCGAGTTTGTGCTTGGCATAAGCGTTAAAGAGGCCTTCCGATGTAGAAGCCCATGAGCTAAAATCCGCAAGCGGAATTCCATGTGTCTTCGCCTGAAGTTCCAGCTCCTGAACACGTAAGAGCAACCTCCGGTTCTGATTCTCCAACTGTTTATGCCTCAGTTCACTTTGCTTCATTCTCGTTAATTCATTTTTAAGAAGTTTTATATATTCTACTGATGATTTTAAAATAGTCCCTTTATTTGGCCTCACATCCCTTACAATCTCGTAATATCTGAAAAATAAAAAATTCAATTTTTTACATAATTATAATTTATTTAAAAAAAAAATTACTAAAATAATTTATTTTTAGGTAATAATTTATTATTGACTATTATTTTTATTAACTATAACGTTCATTACGAAACAGGGAAATTAAAACATAATTCTAGATTTTAACATCCTCTTCAGTATCTAAAATTAAACAAGAAAATATTCAAAAAATTTTTTTTTGTAATGCATCCAGAGAAGATATATTTTTTAAGAGCTAAATAAATATTTTTGTTTTTTTGCAAATAATTATTGATTTGTTTCAAATAAATTTTATTTTTCTCAAATAAACGTCAATAAAATATTTCTTGGGGTGTAAAAAAAACTGTTTTATTACAATTTTTTTAAGGAATTATTGTTTAGCAATTTTTTTTTAATCAACTATTTATTTACTTAATTCAAAAAAAGAATATTTTTGTCCCTTCTTTTTTATATTGTGTCTCTATCTCTCTCTCTCTAATATAAATAAAAGCAAAATTCAATTATAAATTCAATTTAAATACGGGCAAATCATTGAGAAAATGTTGAAACAGTCTATGCTCGCGCACTATTCAAATATTCATTAAATTCTATATAGAGAAGAAAAGCGAAGGGACATCTTGAAGGAATTATTAATGCGAAGAATTTACGAAGGAATGCAAAAAGCCCGCGTCGAATAAACGATATTTCACCTTTTCTCAGTCTCTCTCTCTTACTCTCTCTTACACTCTTTCTTCCTTGCCTTTTGTCTATTGAGGAACTATCTCCGGGGATATCCGGAGAAAAATTCCGGAAGTGAATTCACGTGGAATGCCATGGGCAAGCAAGTGAAAATTTTACATCACTTCGACACAGGCTCGCAATTCGTCTTGCGCGATATCGATGGAGGATTCAACCGCGAAGAAATCACGAAGAATTTTCATAATACGTCGTCCTGCTTACTGTCTTCTCTTTTTTTCATTTTCTTTTTCTACATTCTATTTCTTTCCTTTTCCCTGTTTGTGTCTGTCCTGACTTTTTACCTTCGCATCACTATTTCGTATATAAGAATTTCCCACCCATTGGAGGAAAAATTCATGAAAATCAGCCTTAAGGAAAAATGCGCTTAACTCTCTCTCTCTCTCTCTCTCTCTTAAACTTTTGGAATTTATCAGATTTATTTTTATATTATTGCATTGAAATTTTATTAACAATTTTTTTTTAAATTGAAATTTTTGTTTGAAAAATTCAGGTTTTACATAATTTTATCATATTATCCTTTTAGTCATTTTTTTTTGTTGTCAAGAAAAATACGAATTTGCGTCATTGGCGATGGGGATTTGTCATCTTTGAAATAAATGCGATTTTTTTATTTTCTTCTCCTCTTTTTTTTGGTAAAATAAACGACAAATAGAAAGCCTATTATGACTGAACATTCGTCATTCCCGACCCTTTCACTTTTTTCCCTTCTAGTTTCTCTGATGCTTCTCTTTTCTCTTTGGCACATGCGAGAGAGCTCCATTTTGGGAGAAAGTAATTCTTTGCCTTATCCTTCCAAGTGGAAAAATCGAATCCGCGTTTGCCTGTCGCACATCACTAGCCAAGATTATCTGTGACATTTTTAGGTAATACGATAGACTGACATACACACACACGCGGAAAGTGTAAGAGCATAGAACAAGTCCCCGAAGGATAGAAAGCGTAACTGAACTTCCATTTTTCCCTTCAACTTTGAACCTTCTCACAAGGAAAAGTATATATATCTTTCTTTATTAATAGAAATAAAAAAGACAGAAAATGAAAAAGGCGCAAAGCGCCTACATATAGAGTTTCGTGCCTTTTTAAAATCAGATCCAAAGTTATTTGTATATACTAAATAATTTATAATTACATTATTTGTAAACTGCTATAGTAATGGTTGCTATGGAAACGATTATCAATTCTTAGACAGACGATTTCAATGCAAATTCTTACACAGAATACACCTAAAAGTGTAGAAAAAAATCGACAGCTAAATCCGAGTAGAGGAACACCTCTATTACCACCAAAAAGTCATCCAGGTCAAAAAAAAAATTTCAAAAAAAATTCAATTTTTCTTAGGCAGAAGATTTTATTGCATATTCTTGCACAAAATACACCTAAAAGTGTAGAAAAAAATCGACAGCCAAATCCGAGTAGAGGAACACCTCTATTACCACCAAAAAGTAATCCAGGTCAAAAAAAAAAAATTCAATTTTTCTTAGGCAGAAGATTTTATTGCATATTCTTGCACAAAATACACCTAAAAGTGTAGAAAAAAATCGACAGCCAAATCCGAGTAGAGGAACACCTCTATTACCACCAAAAAGTCATCCAGGTCAAAAAAAAAATTTCAAAAAAAATTCAATTTTTCTTAGGCAGAAGATTTTATTGCATATTCTTGCACAAAATACACCTAAAAGTGTAGAAAAAAATCGACAGCCAAATCCGAGTAGAGGAACACCTCTATTACCACCAAAAAGTCATCCAGGTCAAAAAAAAAATTTCAAAAAAAATTCAATTTTTCTTAGGCAGAAGATTTTATTGCATATTCTTGCACAAAATACACCTAAAAGTGTAGAAAAAAATCGACAGCCAAATCCGAGTAGAGGAACACCTCTATTACCACCAAAAAGTCATCCAGGTCAAAAAAAAAATTTCAAAAAAAATTCAATTTTTCTTAGGCAGAAGATTTTATTGCATATTCTTGCACAAAATACACCTAAAAGTGTAGAAAAAAATCGACAGCTAAATCCGAGTAGAGGAACACCTCTATTACCACCAAAAAGTCATCCAGGTCAAAAAAAAAATTTCAAAAAAAATTCAATTTTTCTTAGGCAGAAGATTTTATTGCATATTCTTGCACAAAATACACCTAAAAGTGTAGAAAAAAATCGACAGCCAAATCCGAGTAGAGGAACACCTCTATTACCACCAAAAAGTCATCCAGGTCAAAAAAAAAATTTCAAAAAAAATTCAATTTTTCTTAGGCAGAAGATTTTATTGCATATTCTTGCACAAAATACACCTACAAGTGTAGAAAAAAATCGACAGCCAAATCCGAGTAGAGGAACACCTCTATTACCACCAAAAAGTCATCCAGGTCAAAAAAAAAATTTCAAAAAAAATTCAATTTTTCTTGGGCAGAAGATTTTATTGCATATTCTTGCACAAAATACACCTAAAAGTGTAGAAAAAAATTGACAGCCAAATCCGAGTAGAGGAACACCTCTATTACCACCAAAAAGTCATCCAGGTCAAAAAAAAAATTTCAAAAAAAATTCAATTTTTCTTAGGCAGAAGATTTTATTGCATATTCTTGCACAAAATACACCTAAAAGTGTAGAAAAAAATCGACAGCTAAATCCGAGTAGAGGAACACCTCTATTACCACCAAAAAGTCATCCAGGTCAAAAAAAAAATTTCAAAAAAAATTCAATTTTTCTTAGGCAGAAGATTTTATTGCATATTCTTGCACAAAATACACCTAAAAGTGTAGAAAAAAATCGACAGCCAAATCCGAGTAGAGGAACACCTCTATTACCACCAAAAAGTCATCCAGGTCAAAAAAAAAATTTCAAAAAAAATTCAATTTTTCTTAGGCAGAAGATTTTATTGCATATTCTTGCACAAAATACACCTAAAAGTGTAGAAAAAAATCGACAGCCAAATCCGAGTAGAGGAACACCTCTATTACCACCAAAAAGTCATCCAGGTCAAAAAAAAAATTTCAAAAAAAATTCAATTTTTCTTAGGCAGAAGATTTTATTGCATATTCTTGCACAAAATACACCTAAAAGTGTAGAAAAAAATCGACAGCCAAATCCGAGTAGAGGAACACCTCTATTACCACCAAAAAGTAATCCAGGTCAAAAAAAAAAAATTCAATTTTTCTTAGGCAGAAGATTTTATTGCATATTCTTGCACAAAATACACCTAAAAGTGTAGAAAAAAATCGACAGCCAAATCCGAGTAGAGGAACATCTCTATTACCACCAAAAAGTCATCCAGGTCAAAAAAAAAATTTCAAAAAAAATTCAATTTTTCTTAGGCAGAAGATTTTATTGCATATTCTTGCACAAAATACACCTAAAAGTGTAGAAAAAAATCGACAGCCAAATCCGAGTAGAGGAACACCTCTATTACCACCAAAAAGTAATCCAGGTCAAAAAAAAAAAATTCAATTTTTCTTAGGCAGAAGATTTTATTGCATATTCTTGCACAAAATACACCTAAAAGTGTAGAAAAAAATCGACAGCCAAATCCGAGTAGAGGAACACCTCTATTACCACCAAAAAGTCATCCAGGTCAAAAAAAAAATTTCAAAAAAAATTCAATTTTTCTTAGGCAGAAGATTTTATTGCATATTCTTGCACAAAATACACCTAAAAGTGTAGAAAAAAATCGACAGCCAAATCCGAGTAGAGGAACACCTCTATTACCACCAAAAAGTCATCCAGGTCAAAAAAAAAATTTCAAAAAAAATTCAATTTTTCTTAGGCAGAAGATTTTATTGCATATTCTTGCACAAAATACACCTAAAAGTGTAGAAAAAAATCGACAGCCAAATCCGAGTAGAGGAACACCTCTATTACCACCAAAAAGTCATCCAGGTCAAAAAAAAAATTTCAAAAAAAATTCAATTTTTCTTAGGCAGAAGATTTTATTGCATATTCTTGCACAAAATACACCTAAAAGTGTAGAAAAAAATCGACAGCCAAATCCGAGTAGAGGAACACCTCTATTACCACCAAAAAGTCATCCAGGTCAAAAAAAAAATTTCAAAAAAAATTCAATTTTTCTTAGGCAGAAGATTTTATTGCATATTCTTGCACAAAATACACCTAAAAGTGTAGAAAAAAATCGACAGCTAAATCCGAGTAGAGGAACACCTCTATTACCACCAAAAAGTCATCCAGGTCAAAAAAAAAATTTCAAAAAAATTCAATTTTTCTTAGGCAGAAGATTTTATTGCATATTCTTGCACAA